GATGATTAGCCAGCAGTCCTTGGGGGTATTGTGCTCGGAGACTTGAGCCAAAGTGAAAACCTTTCCGTCACCACCCATTTGCTTTTCTTGGTATCTCCGCTGCGTACTGATGAAGGAGACAATGCAGGTGGAAAATTGAGGGAGCTGCTGAGGGTTGCTTAAATACAAGTGCACATCATTTAATGCGGCGATGACTACCACGAAAACGGTTATAATGAGAGAGAGGGAGAGAGAGAGATAGAGAGAGAGAGAGGATGGTTAGGTTATTGAAGGGGAAGTAGATTTGGGTAGGTAGACGACAGATCATAGATGGGCAATGGTGGATACGCTGGCTTGGCTACATTCAAAGATTACAGGGCATTGTTTGGTTGGTTGGTAGCGAACCGGTGATTTTCGTAGAAAGTTTGGTCCCTGAAGTTGAACTGGTGATTTTGGTGGAAAGTTTGGTCCGTTTTGTTGTCTATTTCCACGTTTTTTTTTCTAATTATGTTGTGCGTCTTGCAATCCTAAGAGCATTCCACCAGTTAGTAGAAGTCTACCCGTTTTACAAGAACAAGGGCAAGGGCAAGGGCAACGGCAAGGGCAAGCACTATTCACAACCCGTAATCACCGTTTTCTTCTAAATTTTCTACTAATAAGAAGTAATTTTGACCATGGATTGAACATGAATTGTTGACACATTAGACTTTGGGCATTAATTTTGATCATGTTCAACGTGATGGAGCAAAGAAGATTGGAGAGCATTGTCAACTTTGGTTTGGAAGAGCAACTCTGGATTGGAATTTGGAATTTGGAATTTGGAATAGCAACTTTGGGCATTGTCTACGAGTCCCACCTCGGCCATAAATACCAAAACATCTTTATATATAAAGTCAAGGGCCCAATTAACAGTATTTTTTGGTGTCACAAGCCTCACCAAAAAACATTGGACAAGAAATGCCCCTCAAACAAAAAACTTCAAAAGCAACTCAAAATAATGCATCAAACGTGGCAGTGGTATTTTGGTCATTTTAATAATGTTTTTTTAATAATTAATTTCTTTTGTACAGTTTTTAAATAATTAGTATCTCACAATAGGTTAGGAATAATGTGATTCAATCGGTTTTTCATTAAATATTATTTTCTCTATTTTTAAACAAGTTCAAAACATCTTAAAAGGCGTGTAATGCCGATTATAAAAAAGGTCTATCGCATGCGGATAATAATGTGATTAAATTAGTTGTCAAATGATTTTTTCTTTTTTGAACAAATTATATTATCTACGGGGAGGGGGTGGGCTTAGCCTCATAATGTGCTAGCAATAATGTGATTCAATCAATTGTTTATTAAATATTATTTTCTCTATTCTTAATATAAATTCAATAGAGACCGATTTTATTATGTAGATTGAGCTGCTTTAATTGGTTTATGAGGGGTTTCTTCTAGCATAATCTAAGATTATTCATTTACTTCAAATATTTAACTTATCTTTTATCAATTTACATATATAAATATATTTAAAATGTATAAATCATGCATAGCATGCCATAATTTAAAAAATATGTGTTAAAGGCTAGTAATACTTAATGTGCACAAGCCTCTCCCAAGGACTGCCGGTGGAAACCCACTTTAGTCAGCAATTCGGTTGTGACCTAATTGCTTGTCCTTAGTCATTTCACAATGACGTGGGCCTTGCCAGCGGGCTCAAGGTCTGGCACCATATAGCTAGGCAGTCCGACGGGCATAATGGAGCCCACCACTTGCCCTCCACAAAATGCTCTTGCGGAGGTATGCTTTTGGGTATCGTTTGGTATGCAGACGAGACATGATGGAACATAATGGGACGGGATGGGAAGGGACATGACAAGACAAGATGGGACAGGATGGGACAGAACGGAGAGGGAGTAAAGATGCCCTTGGATGGAAACAAGGAGGAAGAGGAAGGAGACGGAGATGTTATAATTTTGTGTTCTACGGATGTGGAACGAGTCGTTCTAAGGGGTGAGGCGGAACGAAAATTCATCTAAAATTCTTCTCATGAAACAGTGCGTTCCACCCGTTTTAGGCACACCAAATATGAGACGGAACATCTCGTCCCATCTCGTTCCGTCCTGTCCCACATACCAAAATGTACCTTGGGCTAAGGGCAATGCAATTTATTGTTTTTCTATTCACTCTTAAATAATTTTACCGTTAAATTAATTATGACGGTTGATTTTTCACTGTTGGATGGCCCAGATTATGCCGCATGACATATTGAAAAAGTATTGAAAATCCAACGGTTGTCACTGCCAGCAGGCTCAAGGCCCGATTGCCGACGCCAGCCACTGCCAGCCACATGGGTGGGCCTGGGCTTCTGTTGCGTGACGTCATTGACGACGCCAGCCACTGCCAGCAGGCTCAAGGCCCGATTGCCTCTCCGTTTTTGGACCTCTGGAATGCCTTTTTTTAGGCATAGGGAAATTTAACCAAATGGGCTACCACTGGACTTACTCAAGTAAGATGATCTGCAACACTACTCCGTATTTTCACTAGTTATCTCTACTAATTAATAAAACTGAAAATTTAACTTTCCCCCTCCAAACTCATTTTTTCAAGCCTCTAGCCCATCATATAATATTTATCCGAATAAAACCCAATGATTAGGATCCAACTAAGCAACTTACCAAATTAAGTTTGTGTGTCTGTTTTTATAATTTTTGGATCCCTAATATACCCCATCTAAGCAAGTATGGAAAGTTCTTGTAATTTTGTTTTAATTGATCATGTGCATTGAATTTGGCGAGGTCTTGTAGCCATGAAATATGGTTCTAGATGGAGGAATTAATTTGGAAATTTTTTTAGTTTTGACAATAAATTTCAATTTGAATATACCTAATTTAGTGTTTATTTTCAACAATATCTATTGTTTAATTTTATGAAAATAATCGCCTACTATGAAAATTAATTTTATGAAAACAATATCTATTGTTTAATTTTATACCTACAGTATAATTACATGAAAATAGTTTACCTACTATGAAAATTAATTTTTTGAAAACAATATCTATTGTTTAATTTTATGAAAATAATTTACCTATTGTATAATTACATGAAAATTAATGTGCCTACTTTTTAAATTTGTAACAAAATTAATTTACCTACTTCTTATCGTGGTATTAGTATACATAAATGTAGAATATATGTCCGTATATATTTGATCTAATTAGGTTTTGGATTGGAGGAGTTCACACAAAATTAAAAATATATTAAACAAATTAAATGTCTAAAAGAAACGTATAAGAGATTTGGTGGCATGATTTTGTAAATAAACACAAATTCATGGACATCTTTTATCCAACATGACATCATATTTAAAATTTGGGTTTTATTTAGAAGTTATAATATATGTGGGTTTTTGTCTAGAGTTTAAGAGTTGCAAGGATTTAAATCTAAAGAACCCTTAATAAAACACTAATTGTCAACCAAAATTCTATAAAACTACTAGTTTAACCCATTAATTAAAACAAAACATGAATAAGAAATATGGGGCATAAATGTAATTTCACACAACCGAAATTTGCGATTTTTTTAAAGTCCCACCTATATGTAATCCTAATATATCTCTAATTTATAAAATTAAAAAAATTAAAAAAAAAACTTCCCACTCTCACATTCTCTATCACTCTCTTCCTCTCTCCTTCTATTTCAAAAACAAACAAAAAACATTTATCACACGCTTTGTGTGTGCCCATATGCTAATAATAATAAATAACTAATTTACGGTTACACTTACTACAGTAAAACACAATCTGCAATGTGATCAATTTTTTTTTTCTCAATCAAAGGAAATTTCATTAAAAAAGTAAGTTAATACAAATATAAGAATCATAAAATAAAAGAGTCCAAAACAGCCCAGCAAAGCCAACTTCACATAAATAATTTACAATGAATAGGCCTAAAAGAGGCAGGCCGACCCCAGGTTCCAATTTTATTAGCCAAGATTGTGCGATGTGACATATTTGTATCCAATAAAATGCGAGATGAATTTTGGAACCAAAATTTGCCCAACGGTTTGAAAAGCCTAAAACTATTTAAAAATCCAATAATGTCTTCTCGGCAATTTGATTAATGGAGTATGGTTCTCCCCCTCTTAATCTCTATCTCCTTTCATCCTCTCATATTTAAACGGTTTCGATTATGCCACGTCTACATTTTGTTTTAAATTTTTTATATGGAGAAATATGACCCTCTAGTTAATCAAATATTCATTATATACTATCATACCTATTTATTAGCATTATCGGTAGTCTAATTTTTTTTTTTGTCAAATGATATATTTTGTTAAATTAGATGTTAGATCAGCTATCAACGAAATTTGAAGACACGTTGTCATGCAAGGGCTCAATAACTTTATACTACTGTGATAAAGGGCTACTTGCCAATATCAGGGTAATCTATTACACTATGTTTGGATGAAGAAATTTAAGATTATTAAGGAATTTGCAAATGACGAAAATTGAAAAGATGAGATTTTATTTTCTAAAGTTTGTGAATTTTCTTGTTTGGTTAACCTAAAAGAATAGTGAAATTGAATACGAAATTTATTATTTTAAACTTTCAATCATATAAATTGGGAAATGACATACATTTACATGGAATTTAAACTAAAAAATTGGAGGTTCAAAATTCTAAGTTTTTTTTCTACGCAAAAATTCTAAATTTATATGTTTATGAATCTAAATAAAGGAATTAGTGTATGTCAATTTATAAATTATGACTTTTACCTAAATTTATCGTCCAAATATAGTGTTAGATTCTGATTGGCGAGACAGTAAGGTGTGTAGGGTTTCATAATTTGAAAAATTGTTCAGTAAAATCGAATCCAATTTAAAAAGTAATTAGAATCCGGCTGGTCCATTGTAATTTGTAATAACTATATAAAAAGTATTTCTGACTTGTTGGGTAAGCATACTCTAATAAACCTCGAGAGACTAAAGAAGAACAAAGCAAATTCCCAATCACAAAAACCAGAACTCTACCACTCTCTCTCTCTCTCTCTCTCTCTCTCTCATTATTATATTATTTTTCTACTGGGGTGCTGCTAGGGTTTCGAATCCACTTTCCCCAAATCGGAATCCAAATCCTCCCGACCCCAATTCGAACGAACCCTAGGGCTCGTGTAAGCGGTCAGTGTCGGTGCAGCTATGGCGACCTTGGTGAGCTCCGCCGGTGGGTTACTGGCTATGCTGAATGAGACCCATCCCTTGCTCAAGCTCCACGCTTTGTCCAACCTCAACAGATTGGTTGACGGCTTTTGGCCCGAGATCTCGACTAGCGTAACCATCATGTACTTTCTCTCTTTCACCCTCTGTATTCGTTGAATTTTCGGGATTAGGGTTTGCATTTTGCTTGTTCTTCATCTGTTTGACAGGTTAGAAGCTTAGGGAAACAATTTTTGAAACTTAAGCCAAAATTGGGGAAGATTTGCGTTTGTATTATTTTTTTGAGAATTGAGTAATCAATGATGTGAAAGATTTGATATTTCGGAAATTTTGTATACTTTTGCACACTGTTTTTCTTTGTTATCATCAAAAGAGGGTTTCTTTTCTTGTGCAGTTAAGAAAATAAGGGTCTTGTGGGTTTGTCTGTTGGAGATCGGCAAATGTTTTTTGGGTGGTGATGGAATTGAGTGGTGTGTAGGTTATAGTAATTGATCATTCGGTGGTGAAGGTGATGACAGTATATTATCCAATAAGAAAGCAGATATGGAGTTATCATGATGGGGAGTTGACTGTATTTCACTAATTGCGGTGATGAATAAGAATGTGGATGAGGGTTTTGGTATTTTGAAGCCCTGATTATACTATATTTAGGACTGAATAGAAATATGTACTGCTTAGTTTTCCGTTTTGCTACTCAGTTTTCAAACATTACTGTCGAAGTAGTCAAGAGAAGGCTTAGAACTGGGGAGGTATTAACTGGGTTACGCTAGTGCCTTGTCAACTTTTGATTATGTGTCTTGTCATTACATGTTCGTTCTAGTGTTAGTGTGCTTCTATAACCTTAGTCACGCTTATGAGATTTTGGAAATGTTGCAACAATTAAACTTTGTAGTTTATCTTTTGTATTTTTCCTTTATTTGTTTCTTTTTTGAATAATATTGTTGTGCAGAGAAAGTTTGTGAAGATGAGGAGTTTGATCTGCATCAGAGACAACTGGCTGCATTGCTTGTGTCAAAGGTAAAAATTAACTGTTCTGCTTTCTTGATTATTTGTTTCAAACTAGTGTGTGACAGACAAGATTGATTGTTACTTTCTGAATTTACTTGCGAGTTGCATCCAAGGGACTCAACTTGATTGAAAATAAATACTTGGAAGTGGAGAACCATTAGTTAACGAGAAATTTTAAATAATTACTTGTGAATTTGATCGGTAGGCGTTCAAATCCGTGTCTCTCTTCATCCTATTGTGAGGGAAGATTGCATATTTCATTGGATATGTAAGTTTTACTACCTTATATTTTCCTTATTTGACTTATGTTTTTTCTCACCTAGGTTTTCTACTATTTGGGTGAACTTAATGACTCACTTTCCTATGCCCTTGGAGCTGGTTCCTTGTTTGATGTGTCAGACGATTCTTATTATGTTCATACTCTTCTTGGTAAGAATGTTTCTATGTTTTTTTTACTTGTACGAGAGAGAGAATATGAAACTTAGAGGTGTTAAAACATACAACTTTACTTCTCATCTATATACGGAAATTTGAGAAGGTATAATCTGACTGCATTTACATGAACTTTGTCGTGGTTTGCTCCTCTCTTCAGCCAAAGCTATAGATGAGTATGCCAGTCTGAAGTCAAAGGCAGCAGAATCCAATGCTGAATCAGTAAATGTGGATTCTAGGTTGGAGGCCATTGTGGAGAGAATGCTGAACAAGTATGCAGCCCTCTAATGATTTTAAATGCAATAATTGTTACCTTTAGCTTTCTTACCCTTTTTTCTTTCTATTTAGGTGCATCATGGATGGAAAATACCAACAAGCTATGGGTATTGCAATTGAATGTCGAAGATTGGATAAGCTTGAGGAAGCAATCATAAAAAGTGATAATGTTCAAGGAACCTTGTCATATTGCATTCATGTCTCTCATTCCTTTGTTAATCTTAGAGAATATAGACACGAGGTAAGGTTTTTCCTATTCACTGATGATACATTATTAGCATCTGTGCTATAAATACATGTGACTTGGTATCTCTTTTTTTTTTACCATCAAATTATTGCTAGTATGATGTTTCTGTTGTTATGCTGTCTGTATCAAGTATACTGTCTAGGAATATGCAGTGATACATAAATCATTTTCTTGTTAGTTCCTGTTATAGAAGTATGTTGGTGCAATAAACTACATAGTTTCAATGTGTTCTTACACTTTCACAATGTAGTTAGGTTTCTCTTTCATAGTAATTTAAGGTGTGATAACATATAGGTGTTAGAGTTTGTGGAGTTATTTAAAATGGCAGAAAAGCTGCATTTAGAGTGCTAGTTTTTATTTTATTTTTTTATTTTGTTTATAATGGTGGTATGGGTATTTGAGTTGAAGGTTGAGGTGAGTGAAAGGAAATGATTATTAGGAGAATTGTAACATATTTTCTAAATGTGGGGAGAAGTAGACTCTTTTGAACTAATTGTAGTACACGTGGAACCTGTATTTTGATATCATTTTATATGTTGTTGGCTAGACAAGTAACATTAGGTTTACATATTTGTCTAACTTTTTATACTGCGTGCTCCAACACCTTTGGTTGTGTCTAATGCGGTTAAGATTGTCTCCCTAATGGTACTCTTAACTTTTGTCGTTTATGGTGTTTTAAAATTTTGCCAAATCAGGGTTTTTATGTACAGGGGCCTGTATATGCCATGTTGCACGAATTATATGACCTTTGCATTAAATAATGCGGTTTATCCTTCTTTTCTTCTTCTTACATTTGTTTTCCTGGCTACCTTATTTGTAAGTTCAAACTAGTAACCAACAACTTCCAAACTATTTGATTGGAGATAGTATATGTTGTCCATGTGTCTGTCCCTTTTGTGTCTCCTTTTCTTCCGTTATGCTTCCAAAAGCACCATGTTTAACTTCTCACATTCTATTAATGCTTTGTGCTATGTTGGTTGATTGAATTAAGCTGTGTTCGAAAAGGCCCCGCCTAGGGCCATCTGCATAGGCACTATGTGGCTGGCCACTGCCACAATTAATCTCTAGGCATTTACAAAATAAGAAAAGACACCTATACTTGCCTAGGTACCCCCGCCTTGCCCACCTAGGCCGAATTGAGATCCTTTCCGGATCTCTGTGTCCGGAGCTTAGGGACTTGGAGATCCGGGTCCATCGGCTCAAGACACAGAGATCTGGAGAGGACTCGATTGGCCTAGGCGCCCCCGCCTAGGTGGACATAAGCGCGAGCCTAGCCGGGCTGGTTGGTTTTGTGACTTTTTTGGCTTATTTTTTATTTATTTAAGAAAATAACTTGACTCTCACTTAGACAGAAAATAGATAACTTTCATTTTGCATTTTGTGTTTTCCATAAATTGGAAGAGACTTGTTGGATACTTGGATGAACACCCATTGTAAATAAGTTCCCCATGTCTTCAATATTTTCTAGTACATTGTAATTTATATATCATTTCATTTTGCAATTTATGTTTCCCACTACGATTATGTAGTTTGTTTTAATATAAGTAGACACTTGTTTATTATATAATAATTTAATTGAAATACAAAAAACCAGCCTAGGCCCCGTCCTTTCAATTCTGTTTCTGTTTTGACGATTTCCCTTTGGAATTAGGATTAGGGTATTGCGGTAGTTATAGAGTTTATTTTCATTTGGTAGTGGACTACTTGTTCGACTGTTTTTGCCCCTTAGTAAAGACAAAAGAGTTGTCTATCTCAAGTCATGCCTTGTGCTAATTTTGTTTATCATGTAGAGCGACAAGCATTTGAACTCGTTTGTGTCTTTGTACAGGTCCTTCGTCTTCTTGTCAAAGTGTATCAGAAGCTACCTTCTCCTGATTACTTGAGCATTTGCCAGTGTCTCATGTTCCTGGATGAACCAGAAGGTGTAGCGAACATATTGGAAAAGCTTCTGCGATCTGAAGACAAGGATGATGCACTTTTGGCATATCAAATAGCCTTTGATCTAATAGAGAATGAGCACCAAGCTTTTCTCTTAAATGTGAGAAACCGCCTTTCACCTCCTAAGACTCAACCTTCAGAACCTGTGCAGCCAGAATCAACTGAAGCTTCTCAAAATGAGAGTTCTGCTGCAGAGGATGTTCAAATGACAGATGAACATTCTGCTCCTAATGTGACTGTGAATGAAGATCCGAAAGAAGTGGTCTATTCTGAAAGGCTGACAAAAATTAAGGGAATTTTGTCTGGAGAAACATCAATACAGTTGACTTTACAATTTTTGTACAGTCATAACAAGTGAGGCTGCTATATTTTTCCTTGAATTTTTTTATTTCATTAATTTACAAAGTAGTTTTGGAATACAGTGATTGAGAAGTGGTTTGACCGTTTTTGTGATTTGCATATAGGTCCGATCTTCTTATTTTGAAGACAATAAAGCAGTCGGTCGAGATGAGAAATAGTGTATGCCATAGTGCTACAATTTATGCTAATGCAATTATGCATGCTGGAACAACCGTGGACACGTTCCTGAGGGAGAATCTGGTAAGCCAGATATCTCAGCTTTTCCCTTAGATCTTTTGCAATGATATATTTTCTATGAGTATTGAGTATTGACCACTTTGGTTCTACAAATTCTCAGGACTGGTTAAGTAGAGCTACAAATTGGGCTAAGTTCAGTGCAACAGCAGGGCTAGGTGTCATCCACAGAGGCCACTTGCAGCAGGGAAGATCGCTGATGGCACCTTACTTGCCTCAGGGTGCAGCAGGTGGTGGTGGAAGTCCATATTCAGAAGGTGGTGCTCTGTATGCTTTGGGTCTGATTCATGCCAACCATGGCGAGGGCATCAAACAATTCCTTCGTGATAGCCTGCGCAGTACTAATGTGGAGGTGTGCATTATATGCACTAGTGTTTATATTTTTTTGTGCACATAAGTACATTGCTAAAATTTTCTAATGGGACCTTTTGATGCAGGTTATTCAACATGGTGCATGCTTAGGTCTTGGCTTGTCAGCTTTAGGAACTGCCGATGAAGAGATCTATGATGACATTAAAAGTGTGCTATATACTGACAGTGCCGTTGCTGGTGAAGCTGCTGGGATTAGTATGGGTTTGCTTATGGTTGGAACTGCAAGTGAGAAGGCTAGTGAGATGCTTGCCTATGCACATGAGACACAGCATGAAAAGATTATCAGGTATAGATCATTAAGTGGTTAGTTTTTTACTCGTGTTGTGCTCTTGTGGAGTTCTTGTGATAAAATAAAATAAATTAAGAATGATTTATCGATGAAGGTGATCTGTGGTCTGCGCTAACTGTGTACTGTATGTTATAGAGGGTTAGCATTGGGGATTGCTCTGACGGTATATGGGAGAGAAGAAGAAGCTGACACTCTAATTGAGCAGATGACAAGAGATCAAGATCCTATTCTACGTTATGGTGGCATGTATGCACTGGCGTTGGCCTACAGTGGAACAGCAAACAACAAAGCCATCCGTCAGCTACTGCATTTTGCTGTATCAGATGTGAGTGATGATGTTAGGAGGACTGCTGTTCTAGCACTTGGGTTTGTCTTGTACTCCGAGCCAGAGCAGGTTTGTACTTTCTTGTTTTTCCATATTTATGTTTCTGATACTGCATCATCTGCCGATGCCCTTTTTTACTTTTCTTTTGATCTAACAAATACCTTATATGTCTAAATTGCATTGGTAATTGTAGACACCTCGAATTGTCTCCCTGCTATCTGAATCCTACAATCCTCATGTTCGATATGGTGCTGCTCTTGCCGTAGGCATTTCTTGTGCTGGTACTGGCTTGAGTGAGGCCATTTCTTTGCTAGAGCCTCTAACTTCAGATGTGGTTGATTTTGTGCGCCAAGGTGCCCTCATTGCAATGGCGATGGTCATGGTCCAAATTAGTGAAGCCAGTGATTCTCGTGTTGGAGCATTCAGGTACTGTCTTTGTAAAACTGCCACTTTTCCGAACTCTATCTCTCTCTCTCTCTCTCTCTCCCCATCTCATTTTGCAACAATTTTTGTGTAGGCGGCAATTGGAGAAAATAATTCTTGACAAGCATGAGGACACCATGAGCAAAATGGGTGCAATCTTGGCCTCTGGGATTCTTGATGCTGGGGGAAGAAATGTGACGATTAGACTGCTTTCCAAGACGAAACATGATAAAGTTACTGCAGTTGTTGGCCTTGCTGTTTTCAGCCAATTTTGGTACTGGTATCCCCTTATATACTTTTTAAGCTTGTCATTCTCACCAACGGCTTTGATAGGACTGAACTCGGACCTGAAAGTTCCGAAGTTTGAGTTCCTTTCACATGCGAAGCCTTCACTGTTTGAATATCCTAAACCCACCACTGTGCCAACCACTACGTCGGCCATAAAACTGCCCACTGCTGTGCTGTCAACATCTGCAAAGGCCACAAAAGCTAGGGCCAAGAAAGAAGCAGAGAAGGCAAATGCTGAAAAATTATCTGGGGCCGAGACTTCTGGAAAAGGAAAATCATCGAGTGAGAAAGATGGGGATGCAATGCAGGTAAGCAGTATGGGCATAATGCTGCAATGCCATCTTTTTTTCTTCTTCCTTCCTTCCCTATACAGTCCTTAGTTTATGACATCATAACTGTTCTTAATCGAAACCACTTTATTCTCTTTGGCAGGTTGATAGCTCAACAGAGAAGAAATCAGAGCCTGAGCCTTGTTTTGAGATTTTGACAAACCCAGCTAGGGTGGTTCCTGCTCAGGAGCAATACATTAAATTTCTGGAAGATAGCCGATATGTGCCAGTCAAGTTAGCACCATCTGGATTTGTTCTCTTGAGAGACCTGAAACCAGATGAACCTGAGGTGCTTTCACTTACAGACACACCGTCTTCCACAGCATCACCTGCTGGTGGAGCAGCAGCAGGACAGCCGGCAGCCACCGCAGCCATGGCAGTCGATGAGGAACCACAGCCTCCTCAAGCCTTTGAATACACTGCATGATTCTCAGTTTAGTAAGTCGGAATGGTATTCTGAATATTCCTCGGGTATTGTTGACTAGATCGTTTTACTTTCCGGCGAAAATGTTGAATTTTCAATTTCATGTGATTTCAAGAGTTTTGAATTCGCTGGTCATCAACGGTGACACTGTGGTTGTCTGAACGAAATTTCACATTGCATCGGAGTCAATACTCATCACTTCTGTTTGTTGCTTTATCGACAAAAATTTTCGTCAATCGGTCAGTGATACCATGTATTTTCGCTTTAACTTGGAAGTATTGAAGGCTTTGATGCCGCCTAGCAACAAACAACCTGGATTACACCAAGAAGATGAACGGATGATCGAACTTGTTTCCAATAGTTAAAGGAAAGGAAACAAAATCAAATTTTCACCGCCGACTTAACTGCATGAGGAGCTGAGACCGTGTGGTGTTGGCTTTCGGTTTGCCAACTTTGATTGCGAAAACCCACCTCCTCGGTTCCCTTCCATTAATGTTAAGAGAGAATTGGTTCGCAATAATATGTAGGGGTGGATTTTTTTTCAAATTATTGTGCCAACTGAGTTACCAACCTTAACAAACTGATTTTGTGCCAATCGATAATGACACGGTATTGTATTGAATTTAAATTTTATGGTACGGTATTGGTATTTGATATCATTACTGATGGCAATACGTACTGTACCAAAAAAATATGAATATATATTACTTATTTTTGTTTATAACATATATAATATTTTAATAATATTAAATGGTATCAACTTAAATTCTTTTTCTAAATACTACTGATATGTTTTCTTTCTATGTATGTAGACTTGACACAGGCTCAACCTCAACCTTTTATAAGTTCAATGCCTCCTCCAAATGTCTCTACATCTCAAGCTTGAAGAATTGATCACTTAATTTTTATTTTTTGAAGTTTAGATCCCACTTCCAATTTTCATTTGGTTTGAAAATTTTAACTTCTATTTGGATTGTAAACTTAACAATTCTATTTGATTTTGGTTTGTAACCTTAATTTCCATTATGAATCTTCATGCATCATTTGACTTACTATATGTGCGTGAATTGTGAATGGTGAATGATTGATGAATTTAGGTTACAAGATATGAGATAAATGCACACAAAAAGTCTTGCACTTGAATTGGGTTGAATTTTTTTTTTCTTCAACTTTTGGCCCAAAATAAAGTTGTAATTATCGTTACATATCATGCCAACCGAACTATTTAACATACAAAAATTTGGTATTCTGAATTTTGCCAAACCAAAAGCTTAGTACAGTAAATTCGGTAACATTTTGGAGTTTTGGTAAAGTAACCGTACCGAACCTACCGCTAAGAATATGTGCGGCTAAAATACTAGATTGAAACCAAACAAAAAGCAACAACAACCAAACTTTATCCCACTAAGAAGGGGTCAGCTGTATGAATTAGAGTGTCATTGTACTTGGTTTTGCTCTAAGTATTCCGTTAGCTCTAAGTACTTCATATATTTTCTTATGGTCTCTTTGCAAGTCTTCTTAAATCTTTTCCTACCCCTTTTGTCCTGAACTTTCGAAAAAAAATATTGATTTGCATGCCTAGATTTAGCTAGGGTGATTAGAGTAGTGTGTTTTCGCAGCTTAAAATAAACTTACATAGTCGAAAGTTGAAGCCAAACAATAGTACAATATAAATAATGGGAAAAAAAAAGAACTTTAACGAAAAGCTCTCGGTACCGTTCACTTTAAAGAAAAATCATATTTTTACACTAAAAAGTCAATCATGGTATTATTCACTTTACCCTTTATTTTGTTCTTATCGTTAAAACTTAAAATTTTTAAACCCTTTTCATTAATTTTTCTAAAAAATATTGATTTACAGGCCTAGACTTAGCTAGGGTGATTAAAATAATGTATTTCTCCTTATACACCCAAGTCTGAATCACCTTCCCTTATAATTTAGTTGAATATGTGGTATAGAATGAACTTTGCTAACACTAAAAAAGGACAAAAGATAATTGATTTATGTACAACCTCTTTTTTCTTCAGTTAAAAAATAGAAGAAAAAATCAATAATAAAATACCGGGGTTTGTTAATTGGACATTTGGGCACTTTAATGAGTTACCATTCCAATGTTGTTGTCTCTTGAATGGGAGCAGAAAGCACCGCTCTGATAATAACTGATTTTATCGATCAAATGTAAGAAATTTGGCAATGTACATTTTTCATTACTGATAATATGCCATCAATTAAATCATTACGAAATTATATGCAACTTAGTTAAAGTTATAGATTTATTTTGACTATTTCTTTAAGACAATATTACAAATGAGATAAGAAAAATATAGTACAAATGTGATTTGAATAATAAAGAAGTAAGAGTATCATTTCTGTTTCTTTAATTGTATTTTCAGAATAGTGATTTTAAGATTAGAAAAAGAAGAATAAAGTCTCATGAATCTTGTTGGTAGGTTAATATATATCTCTTTGAAAAGTTGTAAAGTTGAAACGATGAAATTAATCTTTGACAAAGCGCTCAGCCTTAATATTGGTCATGGGGAGAGTATACCAGTGGCGCTAGCTCGTGTCCTGTGACACCCATAAATTAAAGAAGGCCGTGAAAGTGAGGTGAAACTGTGACAACAATATTAATCCCACAAGGCTCCTCCTCCTCCCTCTCTCTCTCTCTCTCTCTCTCTCTCTCTCTCTCTCTCTCTCTCTCTCTCTCTCTCTCTCTCTACACACACACACACAAACATACATATATTATATATATATACATAGATACGACGACATAACTGAACCACGTAGCCAAATCTCAATATTTCCAGTTCTTTCCTCTCAAAGCAGGTGGGTGTTTTGTTGGGGTCCAGTTCCTCGTCATAGATAAATTTGTACAGATGCTAAATCTTCATGATTACTGTTATCAAACTTTGTCACTATCTTCAAGCAATTGATTTTTTTACAGTTCGTAATTTCATGCATTATTTATCACCTTTTTCAGGTAGGGTAATTTGTCCCTGCATGAAATCAACTCCTGGCCCTAGCTAGGGTTTTCGAGTTTTACTGGGTCATCAAATATTTATACATGGAGAAGGAAGAGAACAACTATTCGGTACAAAATTAATCTCACACAGCTTAATTATCATCACTTCAGTTCATCACCATGTTGTTTTTTTGCTCTGACGACTTCGAAACATTGCAGGCTTTTATGCCGCCTAGCAACTTCAACAACCTGGATTACACCCTAGATCATCATCAAGAAGATCAACAGATGATGAAGTCTCGTGTCGACGAGACTAATTCCAGTGACAACAACAATGGAATGGTGAATTACTTGATGTACAATCATCATCAACTACAACAACAACAGCAGCAGCAACAAATAAGCACGCAATTAGCTCCAGCAGGGTTTTGTGGTTCAACTAGTACTTCTTTTGACAAACTGAGCTTCGCCGATGTGATGCAGTTTGCCGATTTTGGACCAAAGTTGGCCTTAAACCAAACCAAGATTTCGGAGGAAGAGCCCGCGATTGACCCTGTTTACTTCCTCAAGTTTCCGGTGTTGAACGACAAGTTGGACAACAATCAAGACCAGTCGATCTCTCTCATGGTTCCACAAGCTGAAGAGAGATTCACAGGGTTGGGTGAAGAAGACAAGACAAAGTCAATGGAAGAAGAACAAGACGAGGAAGGTCCGGTTTCTGGTAGTAATAATTCAGTGCAGAAGATCCACTTTCTTGGAGAAGATCTTCAAAATAACCCTATAGGAGGCGGAGTACAACCGGAGCCTGCAGCAGCCAAGAACAAAAGAAAAAGACCACGAACTACCAAGACGACTCAAGAAGTTGAGAGCCAGCGGATGACTCATATTGCGGTTGAAAGAAACCGCAGGAAGCAAATGAATGAGCATCTTCGTGTGCTCCGTTCCCTCATGCCGGGCTCATACGTACAAAGAGTATGTATATATACTCTTTAATTTGTTTATTTGAATATTGGTTAATAACTAATTCAATGTGTACATTATATAGGGGGATCAAGCTTCTATAATTGGTGGAGCCATAGAGTTCGTGAGAGAACTGGAGCAACTACTTCAGTGCTTGGAATCACAGAAGAGGCGAAGGCTCTTAGGAGAAGCACCTCCAAGACAAGTGGGAGATTCTGCCACGGCGGCGGCTATGGCAGTACAGGCAGCTGAAGGCGGGGGAGGACCATTAATATTTCCGGCCGCTAATTTACCTATTACTAATCCAAATGATCCGATTAAGTTTGTGGACTATGAAACTGGGCTTCGTGAAGAAACTGCAGAGAACAAGTCGTGCTTTGCGGATGTTGAGGTGAAGGTTTTAGGGTTTGATGCGATGATCAAGATTCTATCTCAGAGGAGACCGGGGCAGCTGATTAAGGCCATCGCTGCGCTTGAGGATTTGCAGCTTAATATCCTTCACACTAACATTACCACCATTGAGCAAACTGTTCTATATTCCTTTAATGTCAAGGTATGTACGTATCATAGATAATAAGCGATGCTATTTAGACATAGAAAACTGACACACTTACTAACACTCTCAGAAGTTTACAAGCTTATCTGATTAATAATTTGGAGAGTTAATGAGTTAATTATATGCATGGTATGATGGGCAGGTTGGGAGTGAATCGAGGTTCACAGCTGAAGATATTGCAAGTTCAGTTCAGCAGATATTCAGTTTTATCCATGCAAACACCGCCAGCATGTGATCATGCACGAGATCGATGATCATGTTAAAGTAGCTAGCTACTTTTGTTGAAGAAAGATCAAGATCATGAATCTGGATCAGTTTAATTTTTTCGTGATGCCCCTGCCACTTGAATCTTATCATTAGTACTACCGTCTTGGTTTATTAAATAAAGAAAATTGATCTAGCAAAGTGGTCCCTGGTATCTATAATACCACTTTAAATTTCCCATTTTCCTTAAATTACTTCATCTTACACATTGTTTGTAAAAGGCATGTAGTCCTAAATCTCTTCCAAAGCAATAAGTAGTTTAATTTACATGCCTCTCCAGTTTCTTGGTTGAATGTCTAGTTTATATATATAGTACTGAGCTATATATTCATAATCATATGATTTGATATATTATGTTAATATCATACAAAAAGTAAAATTAGAGAGTTTTTATTCAAATTACAAATATATCAATCGCTCTTTTTCTATACCAGTTAAACGAATGTAAATGAGTGAACCGTATGCATGATTTCTTGTATTATAACTAGATTTTAACGATGGTATATATTGCTGGCCATAGTTTGTACAAAGGTAAGAACCATGCATATGTGATATCCTTTTCCAAAGGTGGAGTTGCTCTCTCTCTCTCTCTCTGTGGTGGGGAAGGCTAGTTTGGACTTTGGAGTAGACAAGTTCTGTATTTTGTCATGCATGGTTGAAACTTGAAAATAATTTTGGAAGGTCAACGGGTCCCCGTACCTTGTTGCCGTGGGAGGTTGACTTGTCAGAAATAACTCTTTTGGTGGTATTCGGCTGCACTCAGATGACCAAGATGTTGCCAAAGCTTAGAGGGGCCCTTGGTCTTTCAAATTTGTGCAGGTTCACCCATCACCATTTCAATTATATATGTTCGCTCACTCACATTTGTCTTAATTAAGGAGGGTTGACCCTCTTCCAAGTGATTCACTCAGAGAGAATGGGAGACCCCCCTTCATTATTCAACAAGGGTTATTGTACTTGTCCTTGTATCTGTATGTATACATGCCTCCTATAAAAAGTCAATGGGTAACGATAGTGGCACGACGTACATATAACTTTTGTTGTTATTGGCACATTTCCAAAAAAAGTTATACTAGTTTAAAAAAAAGATGCTTTTCTTTTTTAACAACAAAAAATATTGTGTGAAAGCAATAAATATGAGGCCAAAATTTAACAAGACAAAATATGATAAAATCAAGCAATTCAGAAAATAACACAAAAGTTTATACTAATTTGGCATAAGCATATGTTCAATTTGAATATGGCGAGAAAATTCCATTAATCTCAAATGAAGAATATGTAAGAGTGTTTAAGCACTCACAAACACCACATCCTAATAAACGCAATAGCTCTCGCAAAAACAGATAACAAATATAAAGAAGATGAGAATACGCTTCAAATTTCCCCTCTCACAAGATCACTAAAGTAGCACTACTAGCTTTAAATAGGTTGAGCAAATGAGCTAAAAAAAACTATTCTTTCTCTAGGTGGGATGTCGGTTGAACTCTCTGGCCCTATTTGGAGGGCTGAATGAGATAGGTTGTGATCAATTAAAATAAACTTAAGTCCAGTCCGTTGTTTATTGTGTCAAATATGAGATGGACAAGACTGGACATGATGGGTTATGAGTCCACAATAGAGTGAGTTATTTAACATATCTTTATATATGAGTTACAAGTCATATCTTACGAGTTACAAGTCCCTGCCAACCAATCATGTCCCTAAAACCCAATCTCATATAGCCCACCAAACGGATTTTGTTTTCACTCACTTCTTCATAGTGATGAATTTGTGTCTTAGATATGTCTCACAAAGCAAACCTAGCCACTTTCACGTGGCACTTACATGATATGCAAACGGATTTTGTTTTCACTCACTTCTTCTTGTTACTCACCGAAGTTGCTACACACCCACAAATTATACTAACAATCTCTTACAAAGGTGCAAAACTCTAGTGACAAAGAATAGTTTTTTTTTTTTGGTCTCTTCTATACAGAGTGTTGGCACACAAGAAACCAACAAGAAAATCTTCTTTCTTGAACACAGAAGGTGCGACAACTCTCCAATTTTAAATGAGTTTCTCTTTTTTGTGGTTTAATAACAAAATGTCTAAGTTTCCCCACCACCAAATCATTGATTGGTTTGATTGGAATGTTTTAATGTTGTGCACTGCCGACTTGACTTCTTTATCAAGACGATCGAACGGCTAAGCAACGAACCTCTTATTGGCTTAGGAACCTTCACTCCCTTAGGACCAAGGGTGGTTAAGTTTGATTTGTGTATTTTGAGTTTTCGGAAGGGAATGAGATATGCAAATAAACCTTGTGGTATGTAAATGTTTGTCAAAGTTGTGCACATTTTCAGACTTTGCACACTCCTAACACAAAACCAAATATTTTGAAAATTAGTTTTATAGTGTTTTGTTTTTTTAAGTAAAATGGAGGAAGAATACGAAATGATTGTTTAGTCATTTGACTCATTCCATTTCTCATATGCAGATCACCATTCTATAATTACAGAAAATATATCAAAATATTCCACCATTTTCAAAATATATCAAAATACTTTCATAAACACTGACAAAAAAAAAATGATCAAAAAAATAAACTGACTAAAATTTATTTTATTAAAACTTTCTTGTGCATAGATTAACGTGTTATGGATTTGAATCATAACTTAGTAAAAACACATCATCGTTGCATCAACATGACGACGTAACTTTATGTTCCTATGTGACTTGACCAGTCACTAAGGCCATCTTCAACCGAAGGCTAGTCAGAGGGCTTGTTTTAGCTCTATGACCCTCTAAGATATTAATATTTTAATGAACAGTACATGTCCATATTTGCATCCATCTCCAATCGAGGACCAAATTGCCATATGGGCTCGTTTTAGCCCTGTGACAAAAAACGGTCTCCAACTGAGGGTTAAGGCCATCTCCAACCGAAGGGTCTAGAGGGCCAGAGGGTCGAAAATAGCCCGAAAACAGTCTCCAACCGAGGGCTAGGCTAGAGGGCTCGTGGAATCTGAGAGGGCCCCACGGAATCTAAAAAGGCCAAAAGACTGGATGGCTAGCTAGAAAAAACATTAATCATGTCGGTTATAACCGACATGAATGCTTAACAAGAAATTTGAATCCAACGGCTAGCTAGCGCCAGTTACTGTTGGATTCAAAAAAAATTTTGTTTTGTTTTTTAGGTTTTTTAGGCCTTTTTTTTTTAATTCTCAAAAATTCTAATTTTTTTTCCCTATAAATACCTAAACCATTCATTCACCATTCCTACACCATTTCAATTCTCATATTTTTCTTTCCTCTTTCAAAAATCTATCCTTCAATTTTTTTCAATAATTTTCAAATGACCTCATCTGCAATGAAAGGTAGGGCTTGGACTCGAAAAGAAGATGAAGCTCTTGAAAAGAAGATGAAGCTCTTTGCAAGACTTATAGATGGGTGTCAGAAGATAGTGTTTAGGGGAATGGTCAAACAAATGACAGTGTTTGGACTCGTGTGTCCAAAAAATACTTAAAGTTCTATGAAGGCACCACTCCAGTGAATATTCGAAACCACGAGAGTTGTTCTTTAAGATGGAAGAAACATCTTTAGCCAAGTTTGAACAAATGAAATCAAGCATTGTTAACAGTCACAAGTAGACATGAAAGCGGCGCTAATTACTATGACGAAGTAAGTGTTTTCACAATTTATTTTAAATATTTAATTATATTACATTTAATTTCATAAATGAATTTCCTTTAATTTTTTTCTAGGTACGCCAAGTAGAGGAATGTTATATTGAGAGCAGCTCGAAACCTTTTCAATTTCACAATTGTTGGGAAATTTGTAAAGGGTGGTGTTATTTGAAGATCCACCACATAGAGCTCATACGCCGGTGTTTGGAACTGCATCCTCAGCTGCAGATATGGATGAAGATAGATCTCTAACCATTCAACAAACAAGGGTCGAAAATCCGTCTTGGGGTGAAGGTTCCATACCTAGGGCTATGGGACGAAACACGGCTCGAAGGTTGAAGGAAAAGGGTAAGGCAATTAATGATTATGCTGCTCAACATGAAGCGGCGGCCTCATTGCGATTAATGGCGGAGAAAAATCCCCTTGAGGCGGAAGAAAGGAAAAGTAGGCATGAGGAATGGGCCAAACAAATACAAGAAGAGATGGATGATAGAATATGGAAGGGAACAGTTCGAATCACACTCCAATGAGTAAGGCCTATTTTGATAGGAAAAAAAAAAAGAAATTATGACCCGGCGGTGATAGGAGCATATTATGCGACTTTGTTGGCTTGTTCTTGTGCATTTATGTCGTGTTTCCTTAGTTATTTTAATGTTTAAAGTCATTTTCGTGTGTTTTCAGATTTTATGGACAAAGTAGGCAAGAAGATGCATTTTGGAGCATTTTGGAGCAAAATGGAGCTTGGAATGCATGTCACATATTTGGCCCAAAGTGGATGGACGAATTTGAGAACTAAAGAGGCCAAGATTGTGAAGAATTATGGTCCAAAAGATGAAGAACTCAGCCCAAAAATTTGTCACCCCAACTTGCCTTCATTGCCATGCAAAACAACATAGAATTCCCTTTGGATTCCCATGCCATGCTTGATCACTCTTGTCCCCTACATAATTTCTGATTTCATGCTTCAATTCATTTAATTATTACACTTAATTGCTTGATACCTCTTGTTCCCTTCACCCACAAAATTTTATACAACTTTCACAACCATAACATGCACCAATTGATGCTTCATCATCATTCACATTTGGAATCCCATGCCTTGTGTACCACATGTTGCTGCACCTTTGACCCATTTATTGACACATTTTCACCTCCCTTTCCATCTCTATGCAATGTACACAATCATTCATGCTCCCTAGCTACAAGACCACTCCATTTTACCCTTCACACTTTGCATCATCACTTCATTTTCACCCTTGGACCATTGCACACCACATACACTCTTTGCCGTGCCTTCTCCCTAGCCTAACCTGATTCTCTAAGGTTTTTGGGGCCTATATATACATGTTTACACCCCTTGGCAAAAGGGTTCACACTCTCATATTCACCATTCATCACAGAAATTCGTCCATACTCACCCTAGGTAGCAAAACACACCCCAAAAACACCATTCTAGTGCCTA